CCCTACCATAAGTTCCTCGCTTGATGGCTCCGGACTGTAGACGGGTTACACGCCGGGACGCTTCCAGAAATGACTTGAGATTAACCTGTGTCGATGTCTCCTTGCTGGTGATATTAGTGGTGACCTTCGAGAATTCTCCGGCTTCAACTACCGCTCTCCTTCGTCAGAAACGCCTAAGCCTTGGTTTCGGCGTTTCGGTACTGAGCCGTTCGAAAACTAAAACTCTTTCGGGGACCGCCCTAATGCAGCTGTACTCAGACAATACCGCCCGAATGAGCTTGGAACAGGGGCATTGAGTTTCTAATCCTCGAGGACTCCTCTTTCTGGTTTTCCTCGTGCTCCCATCTCGATAGTACAACTCATCGGTTTGAAGGTCTGGGTAATCTATCGCGTGTCGGCACGATTTCTCAGGTATAACGTCATAGTCATCACCAGACGATAACGTTTCCTTCTGAGAGCGAATTACCTTCTTCGGACTTTCGAGAGTCACGCGTCTCGAAACGCGCCTTTGTGGGCGCGAATTCTCGACGGGCTCCTGAACTTCAATGCGCAAAGTAGTGCGCTTGGTTTCCCTGATTTCCTCGTCATATTGAGGGTTGTGGCGACCCCCATCAAGTTGAATCGTTCGGGGCTTTCTTAGTGGGCCCAAACGTCCTTGGATTGGAATTTTGCTTCGCTCCTCGGGAAGTGGACCGAGGCGCTCCAAGACTGACTTCCTTTTCTGGGATGGTCCTGCGGGATCTCCCGGAGCAGTTGTGGAAATCATCGGCGGTCTGGATTGATTCGCCGGAGGTTGAACTTTCGGAGGCTGCAGTTGTTGCTTCTTAGTCTGAATCGCCGCTTCAGACTTCGGTCTCCAGGTTTTACGAGTTGATGGCGGCTTCTTGGCCACCTCTTGGACTTGAGCTCGTGCCTGCGCTGACATTGCGCGGCGCTTGCGAATGCGCTCCTCAAGCGTCGAACGATTACGTTTGACCCGGACCCATTCGCTCGTTGGCGGCTTGGAGGAACTGCCATTCATCGGTGGTTGAGGCTGTTTGCCTCTCCTGTTCTTCAGATCCGCGTTGTAGCGGATTCCGTCGGTTGACTCCATCGCTTTTGCGAATTCTCGGGCCAAGCGTTGGCGTCGCCTTTGGCGAGCTCTCTTTGAGAGAGTCATCACTTCTTTGGTGACGGAGGGATTGACAGAAATAGGCCTGCCCTGGTTGGAAGTTGGAGGAATCTCACCCGATGCGACTTTGGCATCAAACGGGGCGAGATCTTCGTTGGTGTTTTCTACATCTTCACACCAACGAGCTTTTCTCCTAGAGGAGAACTTCTTGGACTTCTTGGACTTGTGAGGGGAGATAGATCCGGACGAGGACACCTCGTTTTAGTGTTAAGTATAAACATCACCATACTGGTAACCATAAGCCATAAACAAGTCATACAAAGATTTAATTTACTTGATCAAACAGGTGTGGGTGTTCGCGGGAAAAATCGTGTCTTTCTTTGTAATTGATTCCATCGTCATCTTTAAATAACAGCTTTTTGAGTTACAAAAGATCCGGTCTTTTTATAAGATTCGGTTACAATGAAGATCAAAGAAAAATAAACAAAGATTACAACTTTCTCCTTTTGTGTCGTACAAATCACGAGCTCCTGTTTTACGGTCGCTCGCTTTGTGGGTTCTTTGCCTGCCCGGGGTTTATCCGTGGACCACCGTGAGATCTAGATCCGGTCGGATCTACGCAGTACGACGGGTATTATTTCACGAAGGAAATAATAGCCGGGGGGGATTGGTTCACCAAGGAAACAATCGCCCAAATCTCGGGATCAAAGGCCAAGCTTTGATCCGGAGTGCGCCTGCGTAGATCTGAGATCCGATCCTCTCGAACTCTTGCCTTATTTGGCGTTGACGATCGCCGAGCACCAGATCTGGATGAGCAAGTCCTCGAAGTCCTAAAGTTTGAATCTTTTTTAGATCTGAGTCTTCAATCCAGCAGGGCTTCGCCTCCAAAAAATCCAACCTTTAAACAAATGAACCACCTCTCCTATTTATAGGCCACCTTCACTGTGCCCGCGCGCTCTTGGCCGAGCCACCTATGGGTGGCTCGGTCTTGGCCGAGCTACCCATGGGTGGCTCGGCCTTGGCCGAGCCTCCCTTAGGCATTTCTGTTTTGTCGTTTTTCCGTTGTTTCCCTTTTTCGGTTGACTTAGACTATGATTTGTTGATCTGATTTGGCAGTAGGTCCGATTCCTGATTTGGCAGTAGATCCGATTCCTGATTTGGCAGTAAATCCACTTCTGAGTTCGAGTCTGAAACTGATCTTGATTCGATCGTGATTCGTTCGAGTTTGCCCTTGGTTGGATGACTTGTTGACTTTTCAAACCCTTGGCTTGATTCCACACGCGAATGGATGTATTCCGTTGCTTACGTGCGATTCGTCAACCTCGTCGCCTCGTTGGTTCGTCGGTTTGTGCCGAGCTGTGCTAAGGGACCTATAAGCAATTTTATATGCCTATAGTGGGACCCCAAACATCTGTGTGCACGTAGTCCAGGATGCCCCTCATCTTATGAATAACAGTCCCGAACTTCACATTCGTTTTCTTTCCAAGAACACAGTGCTCACAGAAATCTACTTTTCTACTCTTGGCTCCTTTCAATAGTCCCTGCTTGCACAGCGCCTGTAGTGACTTCTCACCTGTGTGTCCTAACCTGTAATGCCAAAGCCTGCTCATGTTCGCCTCTAAAATAGCTGAAGCTACCTGACCAATCTCGGTGCTCCCCTTCAGATAATACAAGTTTTAACTGCGGACTCCCTTCATCACCACCAAAGATTCTTTAGTAACCTTTACTACAGCGTCTTCAAAGGTCACCTTGAATCCCTTTGCCTCCAAAGCTCCAACCGAGATAAGATTCTTCTTTAGCTGAGGAATAAATCTCACCTCCTTTAATTCACGGACTACTCTATTGTGTATCCGAATCCGCACCGTACCCTACAAATACCACAGGATTGATTATTTCCCATGACAACAACTCCCCCATCGAGTTTCTCAAAAGATGCAAACCAATCTCGCCTAGGGGTCACATGATAAGTAGCACCGGAATCAAGCATCCAATCTGATACATCCAAGTGGTTCACCTCCGGAGTAATCAGTAAAGAAAAGCTCGAAACATTGGAATCATCGCCTTTCGTAATATTCACCTCATTGGCCTTCAGACCCTTTTTCTTACCATTCTCCTTATCCTTGAGCTTCGAGCAATCTCTCTTACAATGTCCCTGCTCCTTGCAGAATACACATTGGTTCTTTGATAACTAGTGACGACCTCTAGACTTTGACCTTCCTCTATTACCACCTTTCGGATATAGGCTTCTTCCTCTCGTCGACAAGGCCTCTCCTAAAGTACTAGCGCGGGAAGTCTCTTTGTCCTTCCTCCTCAAATCATAGTTCGTCAAAGCGTTAGTAACTTTACTATACCTGATAGAAGATCTCCCATTCAACAAAGTGAGCACAAATGTGTCATACACCTCATCCGGTAAGGAGCCCAATAAGATAATAGCTTTGCACTCATCCGATATCTTCTCATCAACATTCGTCAAGTCTGACAACAACTTAGTGTAGTTGTTCACATGAGCCGCTAGTGAGGTGCCTCGGGACATCTGAAATCTGAATAACCTACGCAGCAAATGCAACCTGTTCTCAACACTCTTCGTAAGGTACTTATTGTTGAGAATTTCTCACATCTTCATCGCAGATGTCACCCCAATCACATCATACTTCAGCTCCTGTTCCAAACAGGACCTGATCACCCCACAAGCATTCCTATTCATCTTTTCCCATATTGCCTCTTCATATTTTGGTGGTATCTCGTGGATCATGATGGTCTCCTCCAAGTTCTAAGCATTGGGCGCATCCTGTATGTCACTCATCCACAAACTGAAGTTGATTTTACCATCATACTTCACCATACTAATTTTGGTGTTCTGAAAACTAACTTGAAATGTACTCGCCATTGACTTGCTGCTTTCACCTTCTTTTCCCATTGCAAACTAACTCCAAGTTGTAGAGAAAAAATCAAACTTTGATAGAAATTAAGAATTACCCAACTGAACCCTAGATCAGATTCCAAATAGATCTTATGTACACACGAGGAAAGCGCAATCTCCAACGGCAACTCCTAATGCTATCTCCACCGAAGCCTAGAACTCCAAGAACCAAGCTTCACACAAGAATCTTCCTCCACCTAATTCCAAAACCCTAGATCTAAAATCTGGGCTCTGATACCACTTGTTGCGTGCAGTGAAAATTTTGACATCACCTCAGCGCACAACAAGAGAGTCAGGTCGCAATAGGAATTCTCGTTTCACAAAGAAAACAAGAACCTTAAGCAAAATATCTCAACAAAGTGGGATATCATCTCTTCCTCTCATTAGTTCTAGGACTGACTTGTCGAGAAAACCTAAATAAACTATTACAAATCACACAAATAGCGAGACAACTAATTTTACGTGATTCGGCAAATTGCCTACGTCCACGAGGAGAGGATGGGGATATTCCACTAAATCAAGGAGAGTACAAATGGCTACAATCTCACAAAACTCACAAACTAACCCTCAACCAAAGCTCTCAACTTGCTCACAATATCTCCCTCTCACAATGCTCAAAAGTCTCTCTAATCTCTGATTACAACTCTCCTCTCTTATTATGATTGATTCTAATCTCCATATATATAGAAAAACTAAAACTAAAACAGACTAGGAATCCTAAAACCAAAACAGACTAGGAATCCTAAAACCAAAAACAAAACAAATTAGAAATCCTAATAACCTCATGTTACTAAAATAGATTAGGAATCCTAATAACCTTATGTTACCAAAATAGATTAGGACTACTGCTATCCAACATTAACACCATAAAGACACTTTAGCGGATCTCATAAATTAACTCACAAGGACAATTGGACATCTTCTAGATGTAGTATACAAAAAATATAAATAAAGTAAAAAGATTATAAAAACAAAGCAAGTTGAATATTTGGTTTCTTATAAAAAACCATTAATGCCATTTTTCCAGTATAATAGAATATCTATATATTGGTACATATGACCTAAGAATAAAAACTAAAAGTAGAAGAATCCTTTATAATATTCCTTAATCCGCCGATAGTTGAAGCCAACATCACCAGTACGCCGAGAATAACGAGCCCCTGCAAAAAAAATTTCAATTATTTATAATGTCAAACTGAAAATTTAAGACTTATTACATTAGAGTTCTTCTATCTAGTACAAACTCGTCACAGGAAGAGGGAAATAGATAGAGGTAACAAGAGAAATTAGTACAAATCAAAAGCGCCTGCATATATGATAACAAGGTTTACGAAAAACCAATTATATGATAACAAGGTTTACGAAAGTAAATATTACTTACCCAATTAATAATCCATGATGGAGAGAACCTCTTTGGTTGTTTGATTGCCAACCATATCACGCAAGGGAGCTGCAAATAATTTCGACCACAGTTACAGTTAGTTTGATAAATCAACTGTTTGTTGTAGGAAAATGGTTATTTAAAATGGTACGTGCAAGGCCTTCTTTTTAAACCTCCTTCATTAGACCATCTCCAATGGCTAACAATTGGGTATGTTATTTGGTGCAATGGCTAACAATTGGGTAGGCAAATGAAAAGTAAGAGAGAGAAAAGGCAAAATTTGCCTACCGGTTAATTTTCTCCAAGGGTACGGCTTGTCAGCAGCTGCCAAAAACAAAAAAAATGCATTACACCAATCTCCTTGCGCCACGTCAGCGAAGCTGGGACATTGAGATGGACACAGGCGCGTGTCCATGTTCACAAAAGAGAATGTCTTTTGTTTTTTTTGTTTTTCTTTTGTTTTTCTTTCTTCCATTATTTTAATGACTTTTTTTATATCAATAATTGCTCTAAATTAATTATTTTTTTCACCCTTATTTTTTATTTTTCAAGGTCTATAAATAGAGCTTGAGTTTATGTTATTTGGACACCAAAAAAAAATCAAGTTTTTACTCACTTCATTCTTTATATTACCAACTTCCACATTCTCACCCTCTCATTTTTTTCTTCTTCTTCCATCTTCAACATCCTTCATGGATCCTTCAGTTTGTTGGGGATTCGAAACAATCAATCGAACCCTTGCCCTTCCGGATCTTGTGTTGAAAGTAGGAAAGTAGGAATAAAAACCACAAATAAAGATCTAACTTGTAGAAAACAGTAAGGGAGATGAACACACAGATTTAACGAGGTTCGGCAACGTGCCTACGTCCTCGGGAGCCACACCACACAATCTCTTTATTAATTGAAGAAGAAAATACAAGCTCTCAAACAAAGGGTTAATCTCTCAGAGATTCTCTCTCTCTTTGCAGTCAAAAACTCTCTTTTTGATGTAGTACAAACCCTAAAATCGTTTGGGGTATATATAGAATCCTGGTTGAAACAGATTCCTAAACAGAACAGGAAACTGCCAAAACTACGTCTGGTCGACCGTGCCGGTCGACCGATCAGATTCCAGAAACATTGTCGGTCGACCGGCCCGGTCGACCGATGCAAAACCCGAGAGCAGTTTTCTCCTACAGGGTTTGGCGGTCGACCGGGCCGGTCGACCGCGACCTGATCCAAGCCCTCCTTTGCTCTTGTGCACGTTTGCGGTCGACCGACCCGGTCGACCACCGATCTGTCTGCGTGTTTTTCTGAGCTTTTGATTACAGCTTTCATCTCGAACTTTGGGTCTACACCTTAGACTAACAATCTCCCACTTGGAGACCAATGTGCCTGCAATGAGTTCCCCCGAACTCTCCCCTTCTTCGCATGTATCTTTTCCCCCGAAAAAGTTCTTCCTTCAATCAACAAAAAATCCCAGCGATCTCGCCGATCCTCGTAGTGTGGCTCCGCCTTAGTCTTCTACTCGTGAAGGCCAACTGAAGTTGCGCACAACTCCAGTTTCTCAATGGTGACTGCCTTCGTCAACATGTCCGTCGGATTTTGACTCCCCAAAATCTTCATTAAATGCAACTTTCCGTCCTCGATCAGCGAGCGTATAAAATGGTATTTGACATCGATGTGCTTTGTTCTGGCATGATATACTGGATTCTTGGTAAGATGTATAGCGCTCTGGCTATCACAATAAAGAACTCCTCTCCCTTGCTTCAGATCCAACTCTTCCAAGCACCCGTTCAACCAGATCATCTCCTTGCTTGCTTCAGTCACCGCGACATACTCAGCCTCGGTTGTAGACAAAGTCACAATCTTCTGCAGACGTGAGACCCAGCTCACTGCTGTCGACGCTAAGGTATAAACATACCCCGTGGTGCTTCGCCTCGTATCATGATCACCGGCGAAGTCCGCATCCACGTATCCCTGCAGCACCAACTCCTTCCTCCTGAAACATAGTGGCTTGTTCGTTGTTCCCCTCAAGTACCGCATTATCCACTTTACGGCCTCCCAATGCTGCTTTCCTGGATTGCTTGCAAATCTGCTCACAACTCCCACTGCATGGGCGATGTCCGGCCTCGTGCAAACCATCGCGTACATGAGACTCCCAATGGCTGAAGAATATGGCACCCTGCTCATATGCTCTCTATCTGCATCTGTCTTAGGCGATTGCTCCTCAGATAACTTGAACTGACTTCCAAGGGGTGTGCTAACAACTTTAGCATTCTGCATGTTGAACCTCTGAAGTACCTTCTCAATGTATTCAGCTTGGCTCAAACTCAATGTCCCTTCAGCTTCATCCCTACTGATTCGCATCCCTAGAATCTGCTTCGCTGCACCCAGATCCTTCATTGCAAATTCCTTTGCTAGCTGCCTCTTCAAACTGTTTATCTCTTCTAAACACGGTCCTGCTACCAACATGTCATCAACATATAATAACAAAATAATGAAGCTGGACTCTAACCTTTTGAAATAACAGCAATGATCCGAATTGCATCTTCTGTAGCCATTGTTTTGCATGAGGTTATCAAACTTCTTATACCACTGTCTCGGAGCCTGTTTCAAACCATATAAGCTCTTCTTGAGCTTGCACACAATCTCTTCCTTTCCTTCTTCAATGAAGCCAACAGGCTGCTTCATGTAGATTTCTTCATCCAAGTCACCATGAAGAAAGACAGTCTTCACATCTAACTGCTCAAGAAAGAGGTTTTCTGCATTCACAACAGGGGAAAATATCTTCGTGTAGTCCACTCCTTCCCGCTGTTGAAACCCTTTCACTACTAATTTGACCTTGAATCTCTTGCTTCCATCACTCTCCTACTTGACTCGGTAGACCCATTTATTGTGCAAGGCTTTCTTCTGTGCAGGTAGCTGGGCTAACTCCCATGTCTCATTAGTGAGTAGAGAATCCATCTCCTCCTGCATCGCATGCTCCCACTGCTGAGATTCACTCACTTGCACTGCCTCTTCATAACACTCTGGCTCTCCGCTATCTGTTAAGAGTAGATAATCAAGTGACGAGAGGTATTTGGGATTTGGTTTGGGTACCCTAGATGACCTCCTAGGCTCCACGCCCTGGGTAGTAGCTTCTGCACCTGTAGTCTCCTCCATTCTACGGTCAGCACTGACATCGTCGCCCCCATCTGGAAGTTCCTCCAAATCTATGTACTCAGATCCACCTGTATTTGTAGTGCTGCTCCCACTGCTTTGGCTATCCTTGGCATTATCCCTGTCCTTGTACATCACCTCCTCATTAAATATCACATCCCGGCTCCTGATGATCTTCATGTTCTTCTCATCCCAAAGGCGATACCCGAACTCATCAATGCCGTATCCAATGAATGTGCACTTCTGTGACTTAGCTTCTAGCTTGTCCCTGACATGGTCACTGATATGAACATAAACCACGCAACCAAATACCCGCAAGTGTGAGAGATTTATCTTCTTTCCACTCCAAACCTCCTCTGGAATCCCAAAATCTAATGGAACTGATGGCCGTGATTAATAAGGTATGTTGCCGTATGTACCGCATCCGCCCAAAATGTCTTAGGCAGACCTGCATGTAATCGCATGCTCCGCGCACGCTCTGTCAAGGTCTTGTTCATTCTCTTTGCAATGCCGTTCTGCTGTGGTATCCCTGGAGTAGTCCTCTCTAAGCGAATCCCATTCGTAGCACAGAACCTCTTGAACTCCTCCAGCTCGTATTCTCCACCATTATCTGATCTCAAGCACTTCACCTTCAGATCTGTCTCGTTCTCGACCATGGCCTTCCACTTCTTGAAGATCTCGAACACCTCTGACTTGTGCTTCATGAAGTAAACCCACACCTTCCTCGAGTGATCGTCGATAAAGGTGATGTAGTATCTCGAACCGTCAAAAGAAGACACACTGGCTGGGCCCCATACATCTGTATGAATCAACTCTAGCTTCTGAGCCTTAGGTGGCCTTCCACCCTTCTGGAAACTAACCCTCTTCTGCTTCCCAAAGATGCAGTCTTCACAAACCCCGACTTCCACGGTGTCGATCCCGGTTAGCTTTCCTTGTGAATGTAGAATTTTCATCCCTTTCTCGCTCATGTGCCCCAGCCTATTGTGCCACAGATCTGTACTCTCCTTGCCAGCTGCAATTGCGAGGGTGTCACTCGCATGTGAAGTGAGGTAGAGAGTTCCCGTTTTGTTGCCTCGGGCAACAACCATCGTACCGTTGGAGATCCTCCACGAATCCCCGGTGAATGTCGAAATGTAGCCTTCTGCTCCAAGGTGTCCCACCGAAACAAGATTCCTCTTCAGCTTCGGCACGTGTCTCACGTTCTTCAAATTCCACTTAGAGCCCTTTATCTGTATCTGAACGTCGCCATTTCCAACAATATCGCAAGGTTCATTATCCCCCAAATATACTTTACCAAAGTCCTCTGCTACATAGTTCTGAAGTAGTTTCCTATTTGCAGTGGCGTGGAAATAAGCTCCTGAGTCGATGACCCAAGAATCAGAATCGCTATCCATAGCAAGGATCAAGGCATCCTGCACGATATGAGCCTCCTGCTCACCCGCATCCTTCTTTGGTGCTTTACAGACCGAAGACATATGGCCCTCCTGGCCGCAGTTCCAACACTTCCCTTTGATAGACCTAACCTTCGAGTTCGGCCTCTTCTTCACTGATTTCGACCGATTCCTGTTCTGGTTCCCTTTCTTCTGGCTTCTGCCTCTCTGCTCGAAACTTAGGGCTGAACCTGAACCTTCTGATTCGGACGATTTCCTTCTAACCTCCTCGGATAGAATCATGCTAACAACCTCATTCACCTTCAACTTCTCTTTCCCCGCCGAATTGCTGATTGCCGTCACACAACCTGCCCAACTATCCGGCAACTGCGATAGAATCAATAGGGCTTACACTTCATCATCGAATGTGATGTATCCGGAGATGAGTTGATCAACAATCGTGTTGAACTCGCTGAGGTGCATCGTGAAGGACCGTCCTTCTGCCATCTTGAGGTTGAAAAGAGTTTTGACTAGATGCACCTTGTTTGCTGCCGACGG